AGTAGGCTTCGTACGGAGGAAGAGGTACGTATCGGAGGGGAGGTGCGTTCGTGGGAAGATCGATCGATTCACGGAGGAGCGAGTCTTGGATTCGATTCGATTCGAAAACCGATTCGATTCGCGAGTCGATTCAGAGGATTCGATTCGAAACCACGTCAGTCGCCTTAGGGGTAAGGTTAACCGAGCCTGTTGGTGTTGGTGGAAGAGGAGGAGCGATCGTTCGAAGAAGAGGATCGGCCGACAATGGGATTTCTTCGGCCGTCGGGAGCTTAGTTCAGAAAGCAACAAATACGTATGGGAATTGTTTTCTGTACTGTGCTGTGGAAGGCCGGAGACTTCTTCTTGTGTTCAAATTCTTCCAACTTGGCCGTCGGCGGTCGAGAATAGAGAACCCGCCCGATCTCGTAGGATTTCAATTGGGATGGCTTTCTAATCTGGACCGGAGAACGCCGCGTTGATAGTCGCTTGATAGGGGAGGTGCGCTTGATAGGGGATAGGAGGTATCGATCCTTTTCGGCTTGAATGAGAGATAAAGAGAGGAAAAAGGGGTGTATGTTTTCCGTGATGACGTTGAGTTGAATCCTATAGTAAAACAGTACTCTTCAACAAGATAACAGAAAACAGGCTTCCTGAGGTCCTTTCGCTTCGTTTCAATGCTTCTAATGGTGCTAATAGGTAGTGTAATGGTAGGGGTATGACCGATTGGTTGTGTTTGTTGCTATTAGTGTTGTTGTTCTTGTATTGACAGATCCAGAGGGGAAGCGCTTCGGTTTTCGGCTTCCCTTGAAAAAGTATTTTTTATTTTTTTTAATATTTTTTTAATATTCTTCTCATAAACTCTATGAGAGTTCGATAGTTCTTGATTTGTGAGCAAATATGGGAAGGACTGTTCTTTAATTTCGAAGGGGGTGGTGGAAGGGGGCGCCCAAAAGCAGAGAAATGGCGTGAAGACGCTTTGGCATACCTTAAAAGACTGTTTGAGAATAAAGCAAGGTTTGCCTGTATTGCTCGAGACAAAAACAATTCCTCTCTATTATTAAGGGGGTATGTGAACCTTAAATCACCCTGTCAACAAGCACATCTCAAGGGGATGCTTGGAAAGTACAGCGTCTGTAAACCGTCCTATTTTGGGGAGATGGTGAGCCTCTGTCGGTTTGTCCACATTGATAGGGATTTAACAACAGTAGGGCGGCTACAAGTCAACGGGGCCAATCCCTTATGTAAACCATTTGCTGGTGATCCTAAGTTCATTGTGAAGATTCTACTTGATTCTATAGACAAAAAAGACTTAAAGAATAAGGAGGTTGAAGAACAAAAGCCTGATGAGGTGAACGACCAAGCTGAACCGGAAAAAGACTCCTACTAGCTAGTGTGAATTAAGATTTAGGCTACTGCGAGCACGTTTCTTCCCTAGGTTGTTTACATGCTCCATATGAATGACTTTGAAGCGACGGTGGAGAGCGTCAAGTAGCTCGTGGTCTATAGCACCATCTTCATCTGGTTTGCCAAAGAGAGATTCAATGTTGTACTGGCTGGTGATTACAAGGCGTTTATGCCTGAGGTGAATGGTGCCGCCTTTGGTTTCTCCAGTGCATGGATAGTGGTCGGCCCAGCGTTTCAGATAGTGGCTGAGACATACACCTTTCTTGTCGAAGTCGTCAAGAAGGATTGTCTCCTCACCAGCATACCCGTCAAACCATTTGTTCTGAGGCTTATCGAACAACGAATCACCGTAGTCTTTCCAGACGCTGCTGGATTTACCGACGCCTGAAGGGCCCCAGATCCAGATACCACGAAGAGCATCGGAACGATAACCTTCAGTGGTGATGAGTTGGTATGCATTTAACCCTTTGAAATTGTTTACGAACGTAGTACGAAATTCCTTCGCGACATCTCTCATACTGGCACCTTCATCGATTCTGTCGCATGCGGCTTCAAGATCTGAGCGTTGACCTTGGGTGGGGCATTTTCCCTTTTCAAAGAAATCTGCATCCGCTCCATAATTGGGTCCTGAAGTATTGAATCCATCCCATTCAGCTTTCGATTGAGATCCTTTCTTAAGACAGTATTCGCGATTAATTCTAGAAATAGATTTTGCTGTTTCCCAATGGGCTCGATCGTTGATCTTCTTCATTGCCGAAAATCTTTTCATTGCTTTGAAGGTCACAAATCCTTGGAGATGCGGAGTACCATTTGATCCTGTCTCTCGTCCATACACCATGTATGTACATCCTGGGAGTTCTTGAAGGGATATCTCTTCTTCTCCTGTGTAATTGTTCAGGGTGAAGGTCCATCTTCTGCTACTTTCGGTTGGGTTTGAGGTTGTCATTTGTGAAAAAATGAGCTTATCGGAAAAGATACAAGGTTCAGACGGCGTGATGTGTTTGGGTACAAGGGGGGGCAGATTACAGACGGAGGAATTAACATGATTGGTTCAAGCGACCGTTGGCTGCACACAGTGTGTTTGGGTACAAAGAACGAATTGCAGACGGAGGAATTAACGTGATTGGTTGAAGCGAACAATTGGAGGAGTAACCTAGCTAGCACAAAGATTGAGGCTACTACAAACTAGCGGGATAGGACTAGCACAGCGAGGTTGTTGGATCGGGGACGGGATCTGGCTCACAACGAATGAGGGATATGGCACAGCAAGTTTGTAGGTCGCTCAATCGCCGCGTAGGCTAGTTTGGGATGCACAGCGAGTTTGTAGGTCGCTCAATCGCCGCGTAGGCTAGTTTGGGACGCACAGCGGGAAGGGGATCGGGGACGCTCACTCGCCGCGGGGCTCATATGACACACGATTTGTATCAAAGTTAGGCTCGGGACTGGATTGGGTACTGTTTGTTGTATAGTAAAAAATTAAATCGTGTGTCATGTATCAAAGTGTTCAGGGGTAATACTAGACCCTGAACACTTTGATACAGTTCGTCTTCCATCAAGGGATGTCAAGACTAAGGGCATTCTCTACCTTGGAGCTAAATTCGGTGCTAAATCCAGTGCTAAAGATTGGACAGAAGAGAAAGAAACCAGAGCCGAATCGGTTTCAAGGGCTTCATCTTACCTCTGAAGTTACCTGCCACTGCCGTCATTGCTCCAGCTGCCAATCTGCCACTGACGTCGTAGCTCCAGCTGCCACTGCCGTCGTCGGAAGTGTGCGACCTCGTTGTTGTGGCTCGTCGGCTCGTCACTCATCGTCTTGCTTGTGTGATGAATCAATCTACTTGCTTGCTTGTCCAGGATCAAGGGGAGATTAACTTCCCTTACGCGGCTGTCGCAACAAAACAACAATCGGCATTGGTGATATTTCGAAACAAGGACAACATCATCAAGGATTAGGTGACAAAAATGTATAACATCTTTTGCGAAAGTTTGACCGATGACAATGGGCTCGAAGAGGCGAACAAGAGGTATGAACAAATCAGGCGAAAGAGTCGCACTTATGCTGCTCGGGTTCTTAAGAAGAAGAATGAACTGAATCGTATTGGATACGAACGAGCTGTCAAGAACGGTGAAGAGAACCGCGAAAAATTTGAACAGTTAATGGAAAGACGCAAGGCAGAAGGAGCTTGAAGGCCACCTTTGTTATCTTATTATCTGCCAGCTACCATGTAAAGATTTGCTCTGGCTAATGTTTCTTTTGTCATTATCTACATGGCTCTTAAAAGGGTTCAAACACCAATCCTCTTGCTGGTTTCCTTTCAGCTGGGGCATTGCCAAGTGGGCAATTCAATGATGATGTAGGATAAATTTCAATGCTAAATACTACATCTAAGAAGCGCATAATGGGGTAGCGCGAAAACAGCGAGGTCGGTTACAAAATTGCCAGGTCAGTCGATGGTAAGGTTACCAATCGGTAACTGACCTCGCGCTTATGTATGGTTGGTACAAGAACACCGAGGAATGATCCTTCCCATTTTGTGAGGTCAGCTGTGCAATATTCAAGAACCTCTTATCCTACTAATTGAAGACGATCGACTCAGGCATATACAGATGCAATTGCAGCACAAGTCATTGGCGTAACGGTTACAGAATGTGAACTAAGTGTTCACTATTCCTCTACCGAATTCCGTTCCCCTTTCTATACATGGCTTACAAGTTGATGCACTTTGTGATGCTAATTACAGAAGGGCAGTTGTAGGCTATTCCCCAAGCCCCGGAATCCAAAACAGCTCAGCCATTCTTCCCAAATGAAAGAGTCCTAGGTTACTAAATCTATAAGTAGGGGTTTCCAAAATGGAGAAAAGCAGTACACAATGTTGGATATGATTGGGGCTAAATTCGTTATGGTACTACTAATAACAGAGTAGTGGAGGTAAGCGAACAATGACATAATGTTCGTAGTAAAAGGGGAGAAACAGGTCACTCATATGTAACCAACTGTAACGGTACGGGCATCCATAGGTCCGAGAAAAGGGTCCAAATGATTCCAAAACAGGACGGCTGGGGCAACCAAACAAGGACGCCATAGGTAACAAAGTCGTCTTGGAAGCCCTGCTAAAAGGGAGAGAAATGAAATTGAAGAAAGTGGAGGAAGCCACAAAAGCCTGGGTAGGACCCCAAAATGATGGGGTCCTAGGTTGCCAAGGGGCAACCTAATCATCATCTCATCAAGATTCACACTGGACTCTTGGCGCTTGCGCTTCTTCGAGTCCTCAGTTCCAGCATCGACACTATCAGGAATCTTGTAGATGTCCTTGCGCACACGAGCAAGGATGGCCCGCTCCACCAATTTAGCATGGTCCTGGGCTCTAGATTCCTTGACAAGCTTCTGCAAATCCTTGAAGCGGCGAAGGCCGTTATCACCCCACCCTCCAAAAGCAGAAGATCCAGCCTTGGAACTGGAGTACCTCCCTTCATAAACTCCCTCCGGATCATCTGCTTTGCTGGAGCGAGGCAACTTCACGTCCAAGGTGAAGCCATTGGTAACCTTGAAGTACTCGTGCCACTTTCCATTGGTAGGGTTGCCTTCATTGTCCACAGCACCTGGTTCCGCTTGTAACCATTCTCGAAGGCGAGGGCAGCAAATGCTTCCGAATTGGGAGGGAAAGCCTCCAAACCATCAACCCTGGCTTCCGAAATGATGTAGTTCTTGCGAACTGCCTTCCTCCAAAACTTGGATGCACCACCAGCCTGAGCAAAGAGGCAATCCCACATCCATTTAGCAACAAACATGAGTCGCTCATGCTGTGCCTTCGCACCCTCAGTGGCTCCCTCTCCAGGTGGCAAAAGATGGCATCCCGCTTGATCACCTTCAGGACCTCAATCATGGTTGGGAACTTTTCCACTCCATGTACCTTGACAAGCTTCTTGACATGCTCAAAGATTCGGTTACAAACATAGTTGCGTACAACATTGAGGGTCTTGACTGCAATAGGTGACAGAGCTTGATGAACAGTTTGCGCTTGGACTTAATACCTATGTCAGCACAGCAAGAAAAGGGAGGTAGCCGGTGTGAGATTTGCAAGGTGCATCAGACAATCCGCAAGCAAAACCAACTCAATTACGTACGTCTGTCCTTCTTTGTATTGCCAGTCAACATCAGCCCCTTCAACTGCATAGTATCAAGAGTGGCCGTGGTAAGGGCAATTGCCAGCTTGTCGCTGTTGACAAACTTGAACCTCCGCCAGTCAGTGTTCTTGATTGCCGTCTTCATCTCCTTATTCATCGGAGCACCTTCATCAGTGGTGACAATAAAATGGACATCGTCTTTGGCTACCGATTCATCATCAGTAGCATCCGAATCAGTGTCGGTTCCTTCCAAACTCAGCTTCTCAGTCTTTGCCTGTTCCTCCTCAAGCTGCTTCTGCAATGCTATAACCTTCCTCTCCAAACAGCACTCTTGC